TTATTTCCCCATGAACGCTAAAGTTAAAAAAAAAAAAAAAAAAAAAGTGCCTACAGTAGAAACCTCTAGATTGGGACATTAATTGATATTCTTCAAATGAGGCACTTTTGAAAAACTCTATGACACCTCCTGGAAGTTCAGTGCCATGTTGGGGTTTCCTAACTGCCTGTTCTTGGGACCCAGGAATGGAGAGCTGAGGGCTATGTTCCCAAACTTCAGTGAAACTTCCTTCAGGTATAGAATAGACAAAGCCCACTTTTGAGCTGAATCTGGGGGAAATCTGGAAGCTAGGATGTATTGACATAAACATTGCAGTTTTATTGTATATAGCCCAAAATTTCAAGAGTTTCCTTGCCTAAGCTGGTTCTTTGGGCTACTCCTGAAGATACCATCATTAGCCTAGGCCAACAAATGGAATGAGGCAGAGCTCTCTCCTACCCAGGAGCTTTTGCAGGTGTGTGTGTTGGAGGAGGGAAGAAGGGTGTCTGGATCTAGAGGATATCATGCACCCCTTCTTTACACACACACACACAGAGAGAGAGAGAGAGAGAGAGAGAGAGAGAGAGAGAGAGAGTTTTATAGAATGAGGTAAAGACTAGCAGGAATTTTTTTTTTTCCACCAATGTGTCCTATTGAGAAGGGGGTGCTTAATGTGGCTATGTAAATCAATACTGAGTTATTTCTTTGAATTCAAAAGCTATTTATCCAGGTCTAATTTCTTTAGAATTAATGTGATAACTGAGCCCAACTTAGCAACCAAACCCAGCCAAGCCCTGGATGGCTTGAATGTACTGCCACAGCCCTCACAGAGGCTGCAAACCCACCTCTGCCATCCACACATTCCCAGACCTGCACGTGTATGCAAACACCCTCCCAGAACTGAACAGGGGCAATTTGCAGAACCAATGAACCCCATTCCTCCACCAGTGGCCCTGAAAGATCGAACCAGGGGGTGTTGCGACAGCAATATGTAAGCTTTTCTCACTACTTAACTTCAACAACAGCGATATAAGCCCCAACACCATACCGCCTTAAAAAGTAAAATGCAGCTTAGGCCTCAAATCCTGCTTCTTAAAACTTTAATGATTATGACTCTTACTTACAACAAGGCTCTAAAAGAACCCTTAGGCCTCCAGATTTCTAAGTTTACTTGTATTTTGAATGATAAAGGCTTCAGCCTGCTCATCAGCCCTCCATCCCCTCCCACTGGCCAGACTTGGCGGAGGTTCCCCTGCGGGCGAGACAAAGAGTTAGGAGTCTGGACCCCGCTGGAGGCGCCGGGACTGGGAGCCCCTGAGGTGTGCGCCTTTTTGCAAGGCTCTGAAAAGCCGGAGATGTTGCCTCTTGCTGAAGAGCTCACAGGTTACTCGAGGGCAAAGTAGGGATGACTCCAACTGCCCCGTTTCTCTGCTTTACTAAGCTGCTCGTGACACCAGGCCGGGGTCTAGGAACACAACTACCATCTTCAATCGGAGCCAAGCCACTTCGGCTACTGGAAGTCTGTACCTAAGTCCACACCAAGGTTGGTGACAGAGGCCATATTGTGGCAAACACCAGAAGTCCGGCCTTGGGTCACACGGGTCTCCTGCGCTCTATTTCCCCCGACTGGTGGGAAAGTACGATAGTCCTACCTGCAATCCTATCCTGAAAGAGCGCACAAACACCGCTAACTGAACTGAATCGACTCCTTCTTGCTCGATGTACTTCTCCCCTGTATCTCAGAGCCCAACCTGGCTCACTCAGTCAGTCTCAGCAAGATCTTCACCTTACACAACCACCCTCTATGTGCACACTTGCACCTCAGAAACCGAGTGAAGGGATTTTATCCACTACCTAGCGGGGAAAGGATAAGAACCCTGAAACTGCAACCTGGACGGACGACCTGCCTGGCTTCCCCACACATTAAGTACACGGGGAAATCCCTCTACAGGCACACACCACGCGCTCTAGGTCTGGCGATTAAGTGAGAGGAGCTTCCTGGCCCCACCACCTTCATCCCTCTTGGGATGCGGTCTGAGTTGCCGGAGCCAGAGAGAAAATCAGCGTACCTGCGAGCACAAAGGGAGAGACACAAATAAGCAAGCGGGAGAAACGCCTTTACCTGGTTAACAGCAAGCTGTAGGGTAGAGAGCAATAAAACTGCCGCGTTTACCTGCCGGCTTTGAGGACCTTAGCAGCTGGGCGCACAGCCGGGATGCACAAAGGGTGCATCCCGGGTGTGGGGGTTACTCTTCCGTGCTTCCCTGTTTGATCCCCACCAGTCCCTTCCCTAGTCCACCTTTCATTTTCCTTAAAGATGTTTGAATTCATTGCCGATATGTAAACCCATGGGTGGCGTTACAGGTTCGAGAGTTAAAGCGCACCACTTGTTAAAAGGAAAGGAACAAGGGACGCCACGGAAAAATGAACGTAAGAATTACTGAATAGGCTCCCGAGACTCAAGAAGTTAAGCGAGGCGGACAGGGAAAAGGAGAGGAAGGGGGAGGAAAAGTCTCTGCCCTGGGAACTACCGGGAAAATGCGCGCTCTGCGAGTCTACGGTTTTCTGATAAAAATTAAGGAAGGAAAGAAGGAAAAGGAAAAAGGAAAGCCCTCCTGCGGATACCTTGAGACCTCGGACCCGGAGCTGGGAAAAATCAATTAGCATAAGCCGCTGCTGGCAACCTCGGTGCTACTTGGGTAGAGTCCGAGCACCTCGGTCTGCAGCCACCTTTTTCAGGAGTTTCAGTGACAAGCAGCACTCGTAAATTCCCTATTTCTCGGGTTTCTGAGGTCGCGTAGCTTATGGGCTGCAGATGAAGTAAAGTGCAAAGAAGTCCCAGTAGTTTCCCCGAAGAGACAGACTCGTCCCGGCTACCTCCAGACATCTATATTGGACATTGCTCGCTGTGCCCAGAAACTTGCACAGGTTTCGGTGCCTACTGAAAGCAGGCACCGAACCCACCCAGTTTCCGTTGTCCCGTCGCGCGGGCTCTAGGCGCCTACCTGCGGATTCGGGACAGACCCGGGCGTGGCCTGACTGGCCGTTCTCGGCGCCTACGGCTGGGTCAAACTCTCCTACCTGGTTACTGGGCCTGAGCTGCCCGCTTGGCCTCCGCAGTCCCGGCTCCGCGGCTTGGGCCTAAGTGAGTCTGAAGACTGGAAGGAGAAAGGCTAGATCCGTAGCCCTGGGCTGCTCCAAACTTAATGTCTTTCCCCAGTCCATCTTTGAAAGAGAAGTGGTTCTACCACCTGGATGTGCGGATATAAATCCCCTTGCAAATAATAAATGGATTAATAATAACAAGGTATGAAGTTCTTTTTATAGAAAAAAAAGGAGAGAATTGAAACTAAATGCGGCAGTTAGACAACCATTTTGATAAGAGGATAATTGAGGCGACACTGGTGTATAATTAGAGGATAATTTATGCTATATCCACTTTTATTCCACCTCCCAAAATAAACCCAGTCCATAATCATTACAGGCAAATTGTTCTGAATTTTATAGCAGCAATTTGAACAAAGTACTGCAGTTAATCATGGGAGATTTTTGTGTATTCCTGATTAGAACTCTAATTGCCTCCTTCCAGAAAGTAAAAATAACTGTAAAACGACTCTATTTTTATCATTAACAATGTTGACAATAAAATAAAATCAATTGGAATTGTAATCGAGAGACAAATTTAGGACGAAGGCACTTTTACTTGGGTAGTTTATATTGTAATCAAGATTTGCCAAACCACTAACCGCATGTATCATTTGCATATATTTGAAAGCATTACAGTAGCTTCTGTTTTCAATAGGAAAAAATGCATTACTGTCAACCCTCCAACGATTCGCTTTCGGAACGGGCTGCTGCGTTCTGGGGGGAAAAATCCCTCCTCCCTTTTGGGGGTTCAATATGTAGGAAATGAGACCTAAACCGGCAGGAATCTCGCCAGAACAGGATCTGATTTTCCCTTTTTTTTTTTTTAACTAACCCCCCCCATGAGGTGGAGCCAGGTGTGGGGGGTTCTTCTTCCCTCGATGGTTTCAATAAAGTACGTCTAGAAAAATCCACAGTGACAAGGCGCTCCCGCGGGAGTAGAGTGGGGTTGGGGTCCTAAGGGAGGGGGAAGGTCAAGGGAGGGGGGTTGGCTTTAAATGCTAGGGGCACTGCTTCTGAACATAAGCAGCCTGAAAGGGTGCAAGAGAATTGAGCGCAGCCTCCAGTCAGTGTGCTCCAAGACTGCGGTCCTGAAAACCACTGCTCCAGGATTCGGGGCACCCGCCGGGGAGAGAAGCGGCCACGGCCGCCGGGCTCCTCCCTCGGCGACGGCTCCGGTCGCTGCTGAGCCCCGGCCCCAAGTTGCAGCTCGGGGCTGGGATTGTAGCTGCCTAAAGGTAAGGTAGCCGAAGAACTCGGCGAGCAGCGCACACGCCAGTAGAAGCCGTGCGCCTGTGACGTCAGGGGGCGGCTGACCAATAGGGAGGCGCTGCCCTTTGGAGACAAACCATTCGACTCGTGGCGTCTGCATCAAGTCTGAAAGCAGACGCGCAACTTTCGCAGAATCCACCTTAAAATCTCTGCCTTAAACTGCACCAGCCCCCAAAAATCCAAGGGGGGAAAGCAAGGGGGGAGAGAGCAGATTCCCCCTCCCCCTCTCCTCTCCCGTCCCTCCCCCTTCCTCCTCCCTCTGGGTTAACAAGGCCCTGCTCACTATATCTCTTTATATTAAAATATATATTTATATATATATATATATTAGAGAAGAGCGAGGAAGAGGGAGAACCACCTCCACCCCCTCCCTTTAAATTTTTAAAAAAATTTTTTTGCAAGGATCCCAAGAGCTAAGGTGGCTGCAGAGGGGAGAAGCGGCGCGAGCCAAGTGGGGGAGGGTGGAGGAAACCCGGGAGAAGGCTTTCTCCAGCCCCCAAAGTTTTGATGATGACCATGACTACGATGGCTGACGGCTTGGAAGGCCAGGACTCGTCCAAATCCGCCTTCATGGAGTTCGGGCAGCAGCAGCAGCAGCAACAGCAGCAGCAGCAACAGCAGCAGCAGCAGCAACAGCAGCAGCCGCCGCCGCCGCCACCGCCGCCGCCGCAGCCGCACTCGCAGCAAAGCTCCCCGGCCATGGCAGGCGCGCACTACCCTCTGCACTGCCTACACTCGGCCGCGGCGGCGGCGGCGGCGGCCGGCACGCACCACCACCACCACCAGCACCACCACCACGGCTCGCCCTACGCGTCGGGTGGAGGCAACTCCTACAACCACAGATCGCTCGCCGCCTACCCTTACATGAGCCACTCGCAGCACAGTCCTTACCTCCAGTCCTACCACAACAGCAGCGCGGCGGGCCAGACGCGTGGGGACGACACAGGTGAGAGGCCGCCCGGGCAGCCAGCTTCTCCCGCCTCCCAAAGACCCGCACCCCGCCCGCCCTGCTCACTTCCTCCACGCTGGGCCCTCCGCCGGCTCCCTCCCGCCCAGCGCGCCCCCAGCTGGGCCCCGAGCGCGCCCGATCGCCTGGCGCCTGCCTGCAGGCCTCTCCCCGCCGGGCCCTACCAGCCGCTGCCGACCCCCGGCTGGCTCCGGGTACTGCCCGCCGGACTCCCCAGCCTCCGGCGCGTGGTTCCCACTGCGCCCCCAGCTCCGCGCGAGCCTCCTCTAGCGTCCTCCCTGCGCCCTTTGCCGTGCCCCTTCCCCCCCCCGCCCCCGTGTAACACGCGTTCGTCCGGACCGGGGACATTTCTCCGCCAGGTCTGAAGTGCTGGTCTGGCTTCCCACCCCACGCTGGGCAGGCAGTGGCCTACTTTGCGTGGGGCACCTAGTGCGCCCCAGTGACTTGGAACGAAGCTGTTGTGGCCTGTGGATCTAGTTAAACTAGTGACATCTGGGCATTCCCTCTCCCCCCCCCCCCCCCCCCCGTGGGCTTTGAGATGTCCCCTACCCCCAATCCTGACCAGGCCCCCTCCCTCTGGGTTTTCGATACGGCGTGGGCTGCTCCTTTGTTCCTGGAGGTGAAGCCGAGGGCCCGGGGCCGATGGCTCTCTGCACTCGAGGGGACAGCGTCGTTCAGAGAGTCGTAACCTGCTCGGAGCTGCTCTGAGCTCCTGGTTGTGTTTTCTTTCGGGGTTTTGATCTACCGGAGCAGAATCCTTTCGAACTTGCCGAGGGAACTTAAAACACCCGGCTTGGAGCTGGGTGACATCAAGCCAACAGGCTGCCTAAACACCCGGGTGGCCCAAATACAGCTTCAGGCCCTGTAAAGCCAGGAAGGAGCCCTCTCCGACCCAGAGAGCAGATACTTCCCTGCGCGGAGGACTCCAGAAAGCCGCCGGCGCCGCCTCTGCTGTAGCAGAGAGAGGCTATTTCGCTGCGGGCTTCCTGGGTCCAGGCACCACACATTGTGAGGGCCAGAGACGGGGTCAGGGAGACGCTGACACAGCCTCTGGGAACACACCGCCGCGGTGGACCTAGGGAGTTCAGGGCAGCATGGGGATACTTCGAGGAAACCTTTTAGACTTGAGGAAAACTCCACGCAGGCCTCACCGCGGGGTAGAATATGGCAGTAGTGGCCTCAGGAGTGACCGTTCCTCTGTGTCATTTATTTACAGATCAACAAAAAACTACAGTGATTGAAAACGGGGAAATCAGGTTCAACGGAAAAGGGAAGAAGATTCGGAAGCCTCGGACCATTTACTCCAGCCTGCAGCTCCAGGCTTTAAACCACCGCTTTCAGCAGACTCAATACCTGGCCCTTCCTGAGAGAGCCGAACTGGCAGCTTCCTTAGGACTCACACAAACACAGGTAATTCCCGGGAAGCCTGAGTACCCCTGAAATGCAGGCCTGCTTGCAAATGGGGAACACACCAGGAGGAATTGGCCTAGTCACCAAGAATGGAAAGAGCTATATGACAAATGCCTTTGCTCCAGTGGTGCACTTTCCTGAGATCACACAATTTGGAATAAATGACCTGGTGTTGAATGCTGGATTGGATTTGCATATACAACAAACTCTCTGCAACCCCACCCGAGCCTAGCATCCTTTGGTGAACATAACATATAATTCAACCAAATCCTATTCCAGAGCAGAATAACATGAAACAGAACAATCATGTAAGGGGGAGAGGTGTCCAGCTAGGAAGTAAAATAAGCCCCCCCACCTTCTTAAGGATTTTTTGGTGGCTCCTAGGAGCTAATAAGAATTTCAACTCACATAGGAAAGAACTTATGAGGTGAAAAAGCCAAGTAAGCAGAGTCTCATGTAGGCTTAATAAAGATATCCATGTGCAAGCTAGTCACCCTAGGATGGGTAAGGTGGGGTTTTCTGAAGATTGCTTTATACTTGGTGGTTAAATCATCCTGGTACCAAATGGTACAGGTTGAGGTAGCTCTCTGGAGCATAGAACTTGGCAGAGTTGAAGATCAAAGAGAGTACACCCCAAATTAGGGCAGGTGAAGCCACAGATAAGAGTTGTTGAAGTTCTCTCTAGTTCTACTAATTTGAAAGATAAATGGGACATTTCAGATTTCGCAGGAAAGGGCCCAGGCCTAAGGCCAGGCTGCAGTCACCAGCAGTTAATCCAGCTCCATCAGGGTGGTAAGGCCTCTCCTCCTCTGAGGTGGGTGAGCTTCATTTAGCAAGAGGGCTTAGGGTTTTATAAGACAATTGCCAGGTATTTTCAGAGTGATGTCTTAAGACTATTTCCTTAAGCTCTTTTCAGTCAACCTGGTTTCTATTTCCATATTGCTACTAAAAATATTTGAGGTTTGATATGAAAGAACTCTAGCTGCTTGATGACTTGTATTACTCTTGGAAAAGTAGATTCCAGGAATTTTAAAGGTAAAGCTGCATCATAGAATTTGCTTCATCAAATATAGTAGATTTGGAATGTTGACCTAAATAAGCTGCCAATACAGATTCCTGATTCTCATGTAGTTCTCAGAACTCTTTGACTTTTAGATGGCTGCCCTAACAATGAGATGATGACTGATGACCCTTGTTTGCCTAAGCAATGTATAAGACAGGGAATGGTGGTGGTACAGCTCTTAATCTTTGCAAGATTGGGGAATATTTAGTCTGGAGAAACATGTCCCATACATATTTGGTGATTCTTGCCTGATATTTGTAGATATGTCCAAGGTTATGAACATACAGACTTTATCTCTTCCTGGTTGTTTGTTTCTGGTACATGTGGAGCAATGCTAGCTTTGGGGTTGGTAAATATAAATACAGACTATCAGAAGAAGCAAATTTAGCTGTATAGTTTTGATTCCCAAACTGTTCCATTTAAAAGTCCTTTATCAAAATTTGGATCCACCAATCTCATTTGGTTTCCTTCTTATTTATACTGTTGTTTTAAAACTTGGGTTAGCATCCAACTCAAGAATCCCAAGGATTGTAGGTATCCTGACAAGCTATTTGTAGGCTGAGAGAGGAGGAATGGAGATGGCAGAAGAGAGGTGGAGGGATGGAGGCGGGGACTGGGCTTTTTGGAGTTGTACTGGTTTTTGTTGTTGTTGTTGTTGTTGTTGTTGTTTTCCCGCCCCCTTGAGCCTAGGGTGACGCTAAAGGCACCACCAGTTCGATGTTTATCTGGCCTAATGATTGCTGCATTTCTTACAGGTGAAGATATGGTTTCAGAACAAGCGTTCTAAGTTTAAGAAACTGCTGAAGCAGGGCAGTAACCCTCACGAGAGCGACCCCCTCCCGGGCTCGGCAGCCCTGTCGCCGCGCTCGCCAGCGCTGCCTCCAGTGTGGGACGTTTCTGCCTCTGCCAAGGGCGTCAGTATGCCCCCCAACAGCTACATGCCTGGCTATTCGCACTGGTATTCTTCACCACACCAGGACACGATGCAGAGACCACAGATGATGTGAGTTGTCTGAGTGAACAGCCTAGGGGAGCATCTGAAGGAGGCAAGGAGGATCCAGGACTTGCTTGCATCTGCCAAACAGCCTAAGGAGCAAGCTCGGAAGAACTCGTATGTGTGGTCAAAAGCCCGCTTCTCTCTCTCTCTCTCTCTCTCTCTCTCTCTCTCTCTCTCTCTCTCGTTTCTTCTTCCTTCTCTTTCTCTCCCTTTTCTCTTTCCATTTTCTTTCTTTCCTCCCCGTTTTTCTTTCATTTCCTTTCCCCCTTCTCTACCTTTTCCTCATCCTCCTCTCTTCAACAACCTTAATAACTGGCCTTGCATCTGACAGAGAGAGAGGGAGAGGGAGAGAGAGAGAAAGAGAGAAAGAGAGAGAGAGAGAGAGAGACTGGCTTTTGTGCCTACATACTGTACCAGAAACCCCTCACTGTAAGGATATTTTCCTTTACCCCTTGAGATCTAGGCCCTGAGCCTCCTCTTTGGGACTATCCATCAAAATGACTTTTCTTTTTACAGACATTCTATCTCCCGCAAGAATCTGCACAAACATGGCAGCATTTTTACTTGTTTAATGAGCTTAAGACATTACATGATGAAAGAAAAGCATTTTGGACTCCTGCATTTTTATTTACCAATTCCAGGCAGACAAAATTTTAAAAAGGAAAAGGAAAATCCTCAAATAGCATTCCTTCTCTAAAGAAAAAGGAAAACTCGCCTGTAAAATTAGAGTGTTGCCACAAAGGGAACGCTGCATGTCTTATCGATCAGGAATGAGGAGTCGACTAAAATACAACAGCAGCAACAAGGAAAATATGCTTTGCATACCCAACCCTCAAACCCTGAACTGGAATCAGGAAAGACAAGAAACAACCAAATCACCATTCTATTGCTTTGACACCTTTCCTGAGTGAATTGGTGGCATTCACTAAGCTAATAGGGACGTTTATATCAAGAAACAGTTCTGTATATATTGTTGAATTTTAGTTGTATATATACTTTGTATGTTTTTGTCTTCTTTCATATATGGAGTAAAAGCCACAAAATGCTGGGAGTGTCCTGTATATTTCTCTATGTGTCTCTGTCTCCGTCTCTCCATCCTTCCTCCTTCCCATTATATTTTATATTACTCTTAAAAGAATTTCTATGTCCTAATATGGGATGCTCTATACATGAATATCAAGTGCCCACAGACATGTCAGTTTGTATCACAAGCCTTTGTCTTAGGTACTTTAACATTAGCCGGGATGTTTTCTCAGTTTTTCATTTTAGTTTTTTTGTGATGTATGCACATTTTTCTATTTTTAAACATTAGAAAGACCTATCCCCAGGTTAACTTCTAGACATTCAGCAGTTTCTAGTACTGAATCTGAATATACTCCTTTCCTTTTTCCCAATCAAATGAGAGAGTTGTACTTGTCTTTGGAAGATTTAAAAAACAAAACAAAACAAAACAAAAAAAAACAAAAAAAAAACCAAAAAACCACTAAAAGAGGAAAGAATAATAACTCAGAAAGGAAAGTGCACAATTTTGACTACTTGATGTTTAAAACCCATTGCGAGCTAGTTAGGTAAGAAAACGTACTATCCTGGAAGAAACACATCCTTCCGATCTTGTGGAAAGCAAAGAAATAATGAAAATGAAAAGTCCTTTCGTCATATAAGCAGGAAGCCCCATACTGTGAGAATTAATGGCTACAGACCTGGGCATCCTTCAAATTATGAACCTTGAAACCACTGAGCCATTTATCAGAAGTCAATAGAGATACTCAGAGTGCTCCATATAATGACAGCGACATACAGTCGTGCAAAAGGACAGTCACTATAATTAGACACAAAGCAAAGACTACTTACCAATATACCCGTTCCTTTTTTTGTTGAGCAACTTCCACGCTCAGTCAGTCTTCAGAATGGTTTAAAACCGATCAGTCTTGTCATTTTCTAGCATTCGCATTGTTACATTAGGAAAAATGTTTTCTTTTCTTTTTTCCCCCTTCCTACTGTGAAACTTTGGGTTCGTAGCTCCCCAGGATCAATTCTGAACAAAGCCTCCAGCTGCAGTGCCATCCAATTTGAAGCAGACATTGGGGACAATTTAAGGTTTTTATCCACAAGAAGGTTTTTTTCCATTCTCTTAAATGCAGCCATAATTAGAGTAATTTTTCATGTAGCCCGCTGATTACAGCGTTTTTACCGTCAAAGATAATTACCTGTAATTTTCTTCCACTTTTAATACTAAAAAGCCATCTTTATTTAGATTCAGGAACAGGAAAGGCGAAACAAAAGAGGGAAATTATTCTGTTATTCATACACAAATTGCAGAGACGTAGGACCTAAAATTGAAAATTAACCAAAATTATAATGCTGAAAAGAATGGAAGAGGCTGCGGAAGTGCAGCTGGTAGTGGGGCTTCGCTGAATTATTCACATTATGTTAGAGGGAAAGCTACCATACATTGAAACCAACACTAATTTTTCTTTAAAAAAATTCACCAGATATATGCCAAACCACTGTGAGTGTGTGGAATTCTGAACCCCAGTGAATGTATGTTAACATGTTAGAGGTGATGTGGTGATGTTTCTGTATGCATCTCTGTTTCTTAACGTGAGCCTGATTACACAAATTCTGTCAGAGAGTTTCCCTAGAACTCACCTTGAACTGGGTTCCCACAGGATC